CCAGACAAAGTCTTCTGTAGATCATTCTCTATGATAAAGTTGAAAAGGAATGGGGATACAGGGCAGCCTTGTTGAACTCCACTGGAGACGGCGAAGGGTGGCGAAAGCTGGCCGTAGGCCCTAACCCAACCTGAGGTATGACGATGCAACTCTTTGAGGATCGACACATACTTCTCAGGTGCTCCATTCCTCAGCAAACAGTTCCATAGTGCGATCCTATCGACAGAGTCGAAGGCGGCGCTGATGTCTAAGAATACAATGATCGTCGGTCTCTGATAAGCATGACGGTGCTCTAGCAGCTGTCGGAGGGTGAAGATTTGATCGATGCATCCACGACCGGCACGAAACCCAGCCTGCTCCTCACGGGTCTGCTCTTCGCGCGTAGTGTACAATTGGCGGAGAATGACGGACGCCAACAGCTTTGACGCTATCGGGATAAGGCTTATACCCCTATGATTGGCGCAGTCATTGCGCGGGCCCCTTTTTGAAGATGGGGACGACAATTGATTCCCCCCACGAGGAGAGGACTTGCTCAGTGTTCCAAACTTTAGAGAACAGAAACTGTAGTTCTCTAATAAGCGTTATTCCACCATCTTTAAATATAGTTGGGGCAAGGCCATCGGAGCCCGGCACTCTGTGACGTCCCAAGGCTTGGATCTCCTTACGGATTTCCGCCTCAAAAGGTGCGTCTGTTGAGACGGACCATGGGGCGTGTACCGAAATAGTTGTGTGAGAAGCTGACTCTGGTGGCCAGCTAAATTGTGCTTTGAAGTGCTCCGCCATACGTGCAAGGCGCCGCTGTTGATTGTGAATGGTAAACCGTCAGCTTCACAAATCATTTTGCTCACACCCTCCGGTGATCCGGATGGGAATTGCCCATGGCGGACAGCACGTTCCATCTCTAATGCGCGTTGAGTCCATCAGATGTCGCTGTCTTTGCGTAAGCTTACATTACGTTCACGTCTGATTACGGTCGTGTTTCGTTATGCTCGCTGCCGGTCGGAATTGACCGACGTGCATCAAGAAGACGGAGAGACTCCACAGAGATCCAGGGTGTCACGGCGCAACGTGTCAGACCACAAGTAACTAAGCCAACAGAATGTAGAGCATTCTTGATAAGTAATCAGTGCTGATTAAAGTTCTCGGGTGGAATTGGTTCTAGCCTCTCGGACTGGAAGACTGTTGGACAAGCTGGTTTAGATAGCTTATCTTAGTCTAACCGTCGTTGTATCGTGCGTTTGAAACGCCCACCGAAGCACATGGACAGCTTGTCGCATACTAATTCGTGGTCGGATTTGAGGGGAGTGCTCCAGTACGATCGGCATTTGCTTAAGGCGATGGGGTCGATCGGCATCTGTCGCTGACTCGAGAAGGGTGGGTGGCAAGTGGCGCCCCTGCAGTTGGAGCGTCTGAAGTTCGTACTGGCGAGGAACAGTTGGTGGTCGGAACACAGAGCCAACAATCGCTCTCCGTTTTCCGAGTGACAGGAATCTGGTCCGAAAGGACCTCTCAGGTACGCTCCACTCAATGTCAACCGGCCTACTTTAGCATTCATATTTCCTGCTAAAATCACGATATCAGCCCGACTCGCTTTACGCAAGAGATCGTGTAGATTATGGTAAAATTTATCTGTGACTGGTTCTGGGCTACAGTCCGTTGTAGCGCACGCCGATACGACAAACGGGTTTCGTCTATCGCGGCGACGGCTGCTTACCTTGCGCGAACCTCTGAGTCTCACTGCGCACAACCTAATGTCGACTGGGATCCAATCCAGCAGCGCGGCTCCAGCTAACTCACTGAAAGCCACGCCGACTCCAGCAAGACCGGAAGCCGCAGCCTCAGGTTCCCCTGATGGGCGTAAGTGAAACAGATTGGTTTGACGGAGACGTCAATCGGATAATGGAGATGGAGTCTTGAATGCAACACACATCGATGGCTAGGATTTCGAGCTAATCACGCCTGTTGTCCTATGCGCATCAGAGTACACACATTAAACGTGGCCAGTTTGAATGGCATCGAGGACGAGGAAGGGCTTCCGCTGGTGGAGGATGCTAGTCGAGGTAGGATACGAGCGAACAGCAGAATTTCCGCCCGAGGCACCACTGTTATTACGATCATCGGAATAACAGTGGTGCCTCGGGCGGAAATT